TGACATCAAGTGTGCAGATGTGTCGACTGCACCTCCAGCTGTGCTTAATTACTGCTGACTCTGCAGTAAGTGAGAGACGTGCTGAGGAGCATGGCTGTTTGACTCGCCAAAGTCTGAAAGCGTCACTGATGAGTCATGTATTCTTTAGAGATGATATGGGATGAAAAAGAAGTTTAAGTCAGAGTGGATAGGAAATCTTGTCTTTCAGTCAGTCGGTATGGATGAAGTTATCTAGGTGAAAGGGGACTTTGCAGGAGAGACTGTGTGTACGTACATAGATGTATGGATTTTACTGCTGCACATCTGGCCTGCTGTTATAGTTTACACTTTATGGTTTAAAGGAAAAATGTCTTTATGCATGAAACATTTTGAGTCATGTGTACACGTGATGAAAACCCTTAAATGTCTTGCGCTCTGCACTGGAGCTCTTCCAGCTGGACAGTCATGTTTCACATGGTGCTGAATACTTTAAATTATTTATACTGGTTTGCGGAGGGGGGCGTTGCTCATGCAGCAAAAATGCACAGAATCCCAAAGATATGGGCTTTCTGGGAGAGGTTTGACTCCTGTCTCTTACATTTTGCTTTAAGTTTCTCCCCACTCTCGCCCACCTGAGGTTATTTGAGCTGCGTGATATATGACTTTCGGGACATACACACACAAAATGTGAGTGTTACAGAAACACGTTTAAGTCATAAAGCTATGCAGAGACATCCCTCTGGATATCATTTCTGCTGATCGTTGCATTTTTGTCCTGTACAATAACCTCCCTTGCGTAAGAGTTCAGTGTTGGGAGTTTCTTTTGGCTGTACATTGTTGGATATGAATAGAATTCCTTTGTCCAAAATAGAGCTGCAACAATAGTTGATTAATTGATTATTCAGTCGACAGAATACTAATCTGCAACAATTTGTGCATCAATTATCATTAATTAATTGCTCGAGCAGTTCAAGGAAAAAATGACCATGAGATTTGGTGCACACATTCATGTTTTCCTCAGGATGATTTGTAATACCTTTGGTGATCCACTGGCTTCATCTAGCGCCACCATCCAGTCAAAAACAATGTTTGTCCAAAATTTTCATTCATAATTAAATACTTGCAAAACTACAGCTACAACGACAACCCCGACAGCCTCAGCTGCACTTTGTGTTTATTGCTAATTATTAGCTAAACTAAACTAAGGTGATGGTATAAACATGATATATGACTAACATCAGCATGTTAGCAGGGTCATTGTGAGCATGTGGCGATGTTAAAATATCTTGATCCACTTGCGGTTTGGACTTTCCAACTTTGAAACATTTAAAATTGAAATATGCATGTGCACTTTGATTCAGACTCTGGTCCCAGCTCCGTTAGTGATACCTTCAGTTAATGGTTTTGTCATTGCTGTGGGAAGTAACAGCCATATCTACACCAAAGACACTGAAAACATTTTCCCATGACTCAGTCTGTTTTAGTGTCCTCTTAGGGCCTTTATGGAAGTATTTTGTTTTAATATAGTAAGGACAAAGAAAGAATATTACTCTAAGATAGCCAATAGCTGTACTGAAGTAATTTTTTATTCAAAGTTAAGTGTCTCTCCAGAGTTGTAGGAATATTCGAATATTCTTGTGTGACTCACCTTGGGATTCGAATGTGACATTTGGAAAACATCACAGCAAAAGAAAGCCATCATGTCCTGTCCTGCCTCTTCACATAAAGTTAACAATAGTTACACAGATCAGTCAATTCTCAGTTCTCTTGGAAAATGTCTGAGGGGCCTTTAAAAAATGTGTCCTTTGTGTTGCTAAAGAACTAAAGGTCATTACAGGATATTTTATTGAGGTTTGTTAGTCATAATGATGGGTTGGGTGTATGCTGGAATGAAGGTATGAAGGTCAGATACTGTTCACACTGTCACACGCACATGCAGAGAAAGCTGTAGGGACATACGGTGGGAGTCAAATTAGGTGGGTTCGCAAAATAAAATATGTATCAGAAAGTAAATTTAATCACAAATCAAAAGAGCATATTCAGTCCAGTCAGGTTGTGTCTCACACGTACTGCATTTAAATGTGTGCTCTATAAATCCTCTTCTGTATGTCTCTGTGCAGACTCTCGTCTCCTCCAGCCTTTTAACATTCCTCTGAACAGACCTGTAAATTCTATACAACCTTAGCTTTATGGTTATTACCAGCTCTCTCTCTCTGTGCATTTACTGTAAATGTCTCTTTATGATGATGATTTGTGTCAGAAGTGCAGAGATGGGTGTATGTGGGTGATGTTATACAGTATGATCTATGATTAAAGGGAGGAGAAAGGGACATAAAAAAGAGCCAGTGACCATCTTCTAGATATTTATGTGCACAGAACAGTCAGTCCTTTCTGTTGATCAGCGCTAGTCATCTGTTCCAGGATTAAAGCTGTGATTAAAGTGATTTATAGCTGTGGATCACCTGTTGTGTGTGACCGTTTATTTAGGTTAAGATTTTTTTTTTTAACATGACAAAAGTTCACCATATTCTGGCCCAGATGTTGATGATAAATACTAAAAATACTCTTAGTATGATAATACTGTAATTTAACTTTCTAGCTATTAATTGAAAGGCAATTCTGCTGTAGCTTGAGGATGAATTGTAATCACTTTGATAATCCCTTAACTTTACATCAACACATCAAAAGTTTACTTTGTCCATTAATTTGGTTAATAACCATATAATGCCATAACACATGCAAAAATGGAGCAAAGCCTGCAAGCTAGTTCAGGCAGGTCAACTCGAGCGGCACTGCTATACACACATGACATGCTTATTCTATAATCACTAACCAAGCGCACCCTCTCAATTTGGCGGTCTATTTAAGCTGCGAAGTTTCCCAGCTCTCCCTCTGCTCTGTCAATGCCGCTGTTGCCTCAGATCACTTCGCTGCTACTCCAAACTATTGCTGCCTTTCTGTCGTGTAAGCCCACAAACACCACCCCAAGCATCCACCTGTGGCTCCAACAGGGGGTTAAGGTATTTGTCACATCACTCCCCAAATATCTCTGTAAACGTATGTGCGGGGTAGTGATGAGGTCGGAGCCTAGACGCCAAAATCTATTATGTTACTGCTTTAATAAACATCTCAAACGTGAGTTGGCTGAGTGAACTAATGATATCCCCTATGAACCATGAACACAGTTGACATACCTGCTAAACATCAGCGTGTTTCTTGTTGATACACTATTGATTTATTTGACCTGAATAAACATGCGTAATAAAATGGAAAGAAAATAATAAATTCATCTAAATGGTCAGAATAATGCCACAGGACAGGTTTTTTTAATAATAAAAACATTTTATTAATAGCAGCAATATACCCACTTTTTCTTGCATAATCTCCTTCTGTTTCCTCTTGCAGTCCACCACGAATAAATAAAGTTTATCCAATCTTATCTGATTTAACCATCACATGGTAACCTAACCTGTCACACCTTGTGATGTCTCACAATAAAGTTGTTTTTATAAAGTGTCTTTCTTCAGTCATTATTCCCTTCAGTCTGTCCTGCTGTTACTGTTCATTTAATAAAAGAGTATTAGAATAAATCCTTCATTATCTGTGACACAAACCATAATTTTATACAACTCTTATAATAAGATCCAAAAACTGTGGTTAAACATTCAATTTACAATATATTTTGTTGTCTGGCGTTTAGTTCACTGTAGGACACAAAAGCCATTGTTTGAAATCTT